TATATCCCTCCATCGGCCCAGACGAATGGCCCACGCGGCCCACTTGAGTCAAACATTCTAATTAATTTAGCGCGCTCTGGCTCAGTGCAGCAGTTCAAAAGCGCTCGTCAATGACAAAATGTTTGAAATAGCCAATCAAATCAAAGAAGGCGGGATTTACTGTTCACAGAAGCTGAGCTGTGCGCCACTTGACTGCGAGCTTAGATAAGATAAGCAGCTGAACATGACGAGACAATTCAGCAATATTTGTCAACTGTTTACGATAAAAAAAAAAGTTAAACGACAGACATTACTTTTCAGGGATGCAAACTACTGGCCTTTTCGAATTTCTTAATGCCATTTACGTTATTCGTCTCAATATAAGATCAGAGTGAATGTTTGTAAATCTCTATCCAGGCTTTCTTCTGTAATTTCACGTGTCTAAAAAAAAAAAAGAAAAAATCAAATGTGAAGACTTTCGCTTTCAAGTGCCGTGATTAGGAAAGTGATATATAGGCCTATTGTAGCCTAATAAAAATATAATTTGCTATTTAGATCACATGCATTATTTTATATACACACTGGCGGTCAAATGTTTCAAATAATTAAGACTTTTTATTTATTCATTTATTTATTGAAAGACGGCTGAATTTATTTGATAAAAAAAACAGTAAAAATAATCATATGAAATATTAGACTTAAAATAGTGGTTTTCTATTAAAGATATTTTAAAATGTAGGCTAATTTATTTCTGTGATTAAAGCTGAAGCTGAAAGCTAAATTCTTTCAGTCATTCATAAAATAACGTTACTGTCACTTTTTTATCAATTTAATGCAACCTTGTTGAATAAAAGTATTCATTTATATACATTTTTAATCTTACCCTAGACTGAATAGTAATGTATCACATTTTCCACAAAAATATGAAGCAGCACAACTGTTTTCACAAAACTGATAATAATCAGAAATGTTTCTTAAGCAGCAAATCAGCATATTAGAATGATTTCTGAAGGACCAATAGAAAGTTACTATAAAAACCGTCCACATTCTGCACTACATCCCAAGTCTTCTAGAGCAGAGCAGAGCATTAGTGTCATATGGACTTATATTATGGTAGGCATTTAACTTTAGTGATATTAAACTGTCCCTCTAAAAGAGATGTGTAAAAATTCTTCTAAATTATTTACTATTTGTCAAGTTGATATATAAAATAGTGGTGTTAAAAATTGCTCTGTGCATAATGAGCTGGTGGGTTTATGGTGTGGTGGGCCGCTCTGTGCCAGAAAATCCAGGGCCACTTTTTCAGTCCGCCCCTGTAAAGTCCTATTGCGAGCCTGCTCTATACTACAGGAAGATGTTGAGCAACCTTATTTACAACCGTATTTCCGTATAGTAGTAAGAATCATTCTGAATCATTGAATCAATAATAATTCTTTTTTGTCCTGCGATGAAATAAGCTGCCCAGTAAGATATGTATGAAGGTAAATCAGTAGCTAAACTCGAGAGCTTGCTGATTTGAATGTGAGATCTTGCCATATTAATATCCGTATTTGTAAGTTGAAATTTACACTCACAGCTTTGATGTGAAAAGCTGAATCTCTCGATTTGCACAGACAGACAATAATCAAAACACCCGTGTTTTGAATACGAAGCTGCAAATTAATAGTTACAAATGTGTAAAATGGCATTCACATAAACAAAATGACAGACACAATGTGTACGACATATTTGCTTTTGCACTTTACTTCAGTTTCGCTGTACAACCACAAGTCAGCACTTACAACCTCTCAGATCTGGCAGTACAACTTCAAATCCTGGCGCTTTGACTTTTGCTACTTATTTCGCGATATTCCTGTAGCAAAACTCACTGGTGCACTTGTGCCATCACACTGCTCCACCATGTTTCAGAGATGATGTTGTATGCTTTGGATCATGAGCTGTTCCAAGCGTTCTCCATACTTTTTTCTTCCCGTCATTCTGATACAGGTTGATCTTAATTTCAGCTGTCCAAAGAATGCTTTTTTAGATGTTTTTTTGGCCAAGTCTAATCTGGCCTTGTTTGCACCTTGTGGTGAACCCTCTTTATTTGCTCTCTATAGTCTTCTCTTGATTGTAGACTTTGACAGTGACACGCTTACCTCCTGAGCTCACCAGTGCATTCTTTTCTTTCTTTTTTTTTCTCAGAATGTACCAAACTGTTGATTTGACCACTCCTAATGTTCCTGCTATCTCTCTAATGGATTTGTTTTGTTTTTGAAGCCTAACAATTGTCTGTTTCACCTGAATGGAGATCTCTTTTGACCGCATGATGTGGGTTCACAGCAACAGCTTCCAAATGCAAATGGCACACTGTCCAATTACTTATGGTTGAAAAAGGACGGAGGTACATATTAAAGAGCTGTAATTCCTTAACCTTTCCTCCAATTGTGATGAGAATATCCTCAAATCTCAGTGTGTGCAATTTAAGCTTATATTCATTATGTAACTTGAATATGTTTTGGTCAGCAGCTAAAATAATAAAAATTGTGCCTGTGTCCAAATATATATGGACCTGACTGTATGTGTCCACTAAAAAGCTGTCACTCACTTAAGTTCATTATGATCTCACAAAGTTCCGTTATAATAAATGAATCTCTTATTTATCACATCTACACTTTGTTTGTTATAATGAGAGGATTCTCAAGCCTGCAGAACTCAGCACTGAACAAAACTCTGGCATTTTGAGCAGTGAGTGAATTCTGATTCTGACTGGCCATTGCATTCAAGAAACCAACAGATATGTCTGTGATTGGCTACATTGCTCAATGCTGCAAAACAAATTGTAAATAGAAACTTTTGACACTCCACTGAGCGTGAACACAAATATGCACTGGAGCATTTGCCAAATCTGTTTCGCCAATTTCCTATTTTTAGCACCTCAATTGAGGGTGCTAAGCACTCTATAGCAGTGAATCTCAACCTTTTGGCGTACCGGACCCCAGTTCAATTCAGAACCATCCTCAAGGACCCCTAGAACAAAATTGACTCATCTATGTATCATTTGTGTCTTTGTGAGGACCAAATATAGTCAAGTATAATTCAAGTTAGCTGACTTGTCCAGTATTTGGCCATATCATCAGCTATATTGGATTTTTCTTTCATGGGAACATGTCATGTCAAAATATACAACATTTATACAAAAATTCATACTTTATACGGACCCCCTGGCCTTACGTCAAGGACCACTAGGGGTCCACGGACCCCTGGTTGAGAAACACTGCTCTATAGGACCCCTCTATAACTGTGATGGGCTTTTTAACAGTTTATGTGCCTTGTGGTTCTATGCGCCAAAATTTAAGTGCTTCTTTTCTTAGTGGTAAAAGACGATAGGCTGATCAGCTCAATAGTGGGTTGCGCCACCTAGTGTGCAGGCAAAAAATTTATTTTCGGTCAGTGCCACCTATCATACAGAAAAGCCAAAAACAGTTGTTTCCTTTTCAGTGTGTAGGCACCATTCATCTGCGATTCACTTTACTTTATCGTGTCTCGCTAAGTGTGAAAGGGCCTTCAAGTAGGAAAACATTTGTCAAATTTGTTTGATTTGGTTATTTTACTGTTCTTTACATACTATTTTAATTTTAATAATATTTCAAAGTAGCTTTTATTTTAATATTTTCAGCTTTTTATATTTGCTATTTTAATTTTAACAATTTTGTTTAGTTTTAGTCATTTTGTTATGTGCTTTCACCATTTTTATTCATTTTAGTTTTTTCTATTTAGCTTTGATTTTTAATTTTTATTTGTAATATTTATATTTTATTTTATTTTATTTCAGGTTTTAATAGTTTAGTTAACTATGACAACAGTGGATGCAGGTGCAAATGCCTTGTAGGCTTCATGATTTCAAAGAATCAATTAATGTTTTTTTTTTTTTTGGACTGATACAAAGTGACTAAATCAGATTCAATGCTGCATTGCTTGTATACAAAAGCATCTCTGTTGACTGACTTTTACCTTGCCTAAAACCCTTCAGAATTCTCTTGAATGGTTTTATGGCACTTCAAGAGAAAGTTTTGTTACATCCGATCTTGTTCTTCATTATGAGAAACAGACCAAACTCTCTTCTCATTAGTGGCTGGAGAAGTAGACCCCTGAGGCTGACAGGAGAGATTTCAGAGGGGACAAGCTGTAGTGTGTAATTGGGCCCATCCGGTCCATCTGGTCCTTCAGAGAGGTCACTTGAAGTCAAAGTTCTCCACAGCAAATTTCTGTAATTCATTTAGTTTTCTTTTTTACTGCTTGCCTCTTTTTTGGAAGTATATTTGCAAGAGTCAGTTATCTTTTTTATTTTTTTTTATTTTCATTTAATTTTTCAAGTCCCTTATACCTTATTGTTACAGAAGAGCCTAAGTGTATTGTGTTTTTCTTCATCCTAATTCATGCAAACCCACACTGACAATCCTCCTTGAAAAAAAAACATTATAATAATACTTGAATAAGGGCTGTTTAAGACAACAACACAAAATCCTCAGTAGACTTGAGTGACACTCATCATCTCAAGAAAATATGGCAAGGCATTGTGGGTAGCGGTGAGAATTCCTGGCTGTCTCTGTCTGATTAAAATGTGATGTGTTGAAAGTTGGCTTTGATCTTAGGAAATGTCTGCGAGGGGAGCAGTTGGAATTTAGCTTGGGATTTTTCCCTCCCGCTCTCTCTGTGATTTGGCCCTACCGATAGATAGTGTCACCATTCATTTCCTGCTCAAGCTCCTACACCATTCTGTGCAGACGCTAGACCTGGATCAGGGATCCGAAATGAATAGATCACATGCCGAGCTTTTGTGGCTTGTGCATAGCTCTGTTTTCTTCTATGCTTCTCTCTAAATGTATGCATGTGCTTTGGATTGTATATGCTCAGTTAACATGACATTTTGCAAATAACCCCAAAGACTTGGAACATCACACCCCATGGAATGAGTGGAAGAATACACCATATGAAAAAGACTAATGTGCTTAAATGTTTTTCTTCGTCTCTGATTCCAGGCCCCCTGCACTGGCGGCCAGCCCGGCATTTTCTGATATCTCCCTCATCCGGATCTCGCCACATCGGAACCCTTCCGTGGGGGCGGAGTCACCCTTTAACCCCCCGCATCCATACATTAACCCCTACATGGACTATATCCGCTCGCTGCACAGCAGTCCCTCTCTGTCCATGATCTCTGCGGCCAGGGGCCTCAGTCCTGCAGATGGTGAGTACCTCAGAGACCTGTTCTGGGCCTGCTAAAGTTGTTGTTAAATTGTCAACCTATTAAGGACCGTGCACAGACCTTTTGAGGGGCATGTGCTGAAACTGAAAAAGTTTTTTTGGTCACATCTTAATGACAAATTAAATAACACAAAATAATAGTCTCAAAAGCATTAGATTTATTCGCTATTAATAACCATAATAATAATAGCCTATAGTTTGAAGAAAAATATTTTATTTAGCTATTCTGCTTGGTTTTATAAGCTAATTTGAATTATGTTGTTAGCATGTTTATGTATGTCATTGAGAAAAGGGAAAGGTAAAACATTGAGTCAAGTATTTTTGCCAAACTATTTTGAAATATAATTTAAATAATTACACTGAACAAAATTATAAACAAATATAAAGATTTCGTGGTGATCTGATTCTGTAATGTTTTTTTTTAGTTAATAAAACTTAAAACCATATTTTACTACGTTTACATGTGAAGACAAGTGGAGAGTATAGAATAATAGATTAAGAAATTAGCTAGCTAGCGAATACATGCATATTAACAGCGTAAACATGAACCATGCAACCATATAGGCCTAATATGATTAAATGTTAATAAATTAAGTGTATCAGCAGTAATAAATCAAATAATTTTTTTTTTAGAAATATATTTTAAGTTACCTAGGTGACGAGGATCACTCAGTCACTTTGTGTCAAACTCAAATGCAGTTACGGGGTTTTTGACCTGCGAATGTTTGCAAATGCGCATTTTGTCCGTCAATAAAACGGTGGCATCACATTACGTTTTTACCAACAGGTTAGAAAGTTTGTTGTAGCTATGGGTGCTCAGTTTTACCTGTTGTAAAATACATTTGGCCAAAATCTCATTTTATGAGATGAAATGCTACTGTATGGACAGGCTATTTAAGTGTATTGGCTATGACTAGATGGCAAATGTTAGCCCTTTCTCTCCGGTCCCTCATGTCTCATACCTAAAATACATAAAATATGAGCCTTTATAGTGTTTCTTGCGTAAAGCAAATGCTGTACTTATTCAAACAACAAGATCTTTATTTACCCTTGCAAGACTTCAGTTAATTCAGTCAAGATTTTACTGACAGTTTGAGCGGATCCAACAAGATTGAGTCATAAGCTCTTTTTAATACCTCTCACTGGCTTGTAAATATTTGTAAAACAGGCAGACAAACGTAAAGGGTGATAGCATTGATTTATTGAAGAAGAAAAACAAAAACAAACACCGCCACCAAAAAAAGGGCACTTCGGAGTGTAAGGGAAAAAAGGGCATGTGCTCTGCACAGGTTGAGCCCTACCTGAACCTATTGTGAGCAGAGCAGAGCACACAATTCTAAGTATTAAACTTCTACACAAAACATGTCCTTCAGAAACTGATAATCGATTAAAAATCTATCTATCTATACAGTTTTATCTATCATTCTGTCAATCTATCTGGTGAGGCCTGGGATAATGCAATCATATATCCCTAATATTATCTGTCTGTGGTGCTTCTCTCTGGAGGTGAGACTATTGTTTGATCATTTGGCTGAGGTCACTCTCTTTGATCTTTGTCTCATGCCAGCAAACCTCTGGAGGAACATTCAACGTGTCAGGCAGAGTCTAGTGATCACATCCTGAGTTAAGATGGGGGTGAAGTTCAAGGCCATGGTTGAGGGCAGAGTGCACAAGAAGGGAGGGAAGGATGAGAATTGGGAATGGTTTAGAAGATGGACTCCAGAAGCCTGACGGGAAGCCATTTTGGTTTCGTGTGTGAAGTCGGACTGGGAAATCCATTACAGGGTCAGCAAAGACAGCTGTTTTTAAAAGGTCTCTGCAGTATGCTGGCCTCTTGGCCTTCTCCTCAGGCATGGAGTTTTAATTGAAGCCTGAAGCACAAATACCAAAGTGGGGCAATCAGAGGGGCCTCATACAGGCCACAGATAATCACAACTGTATCGAACTGTGGTGCCATTTCACATCAGCCAGGTTTTACTACCTACCAAGTGTGTCAAAGGAAGACATGAAGCATTTCCAAATAGTTATTGACTATTCCCAGAAAAGAAACCTGAATAAGGGCTAAATTAAACTTGTTGATGCAATTTGGTTTGATGTGACTTTTTTGTGGTCTTGGTAAAAAAATAAAAAAATTGTTGAGTAAAATAGATTATTTGTCTTGATTAGATTTGAATAAGATTATTAACTACAAATATTTAAATTGCACATAAGGAAGTTTTTAAGTTTTTAACTCTTTAATAACAGAATTATGTTTCTACTCGAATTTGTTGTATTTGAATGTAGGCATTCAAATGCAAGACTTCAGTTCATTCAGTCAAGATTTTACTGACAGTTTGAGCGGATCCAAAAAGATTTAGTCACAAGCTCTTTTTAATACCTCTCACTGGCTTGTAAATATTTGTAAAACAGGCAGACAAACGTAAAGGGTGATAGCATTGATTTATTGAAGAAGAAAAACAAAAACAAACACCGCCACCAAAAAAAGGGCACTACGGAGTGTAAGGGAAAAAAGGGCATGTGCTTTGCACAGGTTGAGCCCTACCTGTGCACGTGCCTGAACCTATTGTGGGCAGAGCAGAGCAGAGCACACAATTCAGTATTAAACTTCTACACAAAACATGTCCTTCAGAAACTGATAATAGATTAAAAATCTATCTATCTATACAGTTTTATCTATCATTCTGTCAATCTATCTGGTGAGGCCTGGGATAATGCAATCATATATCCCTTGAATGTAGAAATTCAAATGGTGTCTGTAATAAATGGTGTCTGCTTGTTTTCATTAAATAATGATAATAATAACTATATTGCTCATTGCGTTCTAAACTGCACCATATGTAGTCAGCGTTATTTCTCGGAATAACTTATGATATATGAACTTATGAACATCTATTTCAGACTCTCCAAGCTCTCCAAGATATGGCGTTTTACAAGCATTACCATTTCCATGTAAAGTTATCTGTATGTGACCCTGGACCCCCTGGACCATCATAAGTAGCATGGGTAGCCTATATTTGTAGCAATAGCCAAATATACATCGTATATTTGAACAGTAATTCATTTGGACAACTTTAAAGGTGATTTTCTCAGTATTTTGATTTTTTTTTTTTTTTTTTGCACCCTCAGATTCCAGATTTTCAAATAGTTTTCTCTCACAAACCATACATCGATGGAAATCTTATTTATTCAGCTTTCAGATGATGTATAAATCT